GTGTCCTACTATTAATAATTATCATACATATCATATATACACATATATATTTGTTTTTTTAAGTAGGCTCCATACCCAGCTTGGAGCCCAAAGCAGGGCTCAAACTCACGACCCTGAGATCAAGACCTGAGCGGAGATCAGAGTTGGACGCTCAGCTGACTGAGCCACCCTGGTGCCCCTCACAAATATATTTTTGAAAATTGCTCTAAGTGTTTAACCAAAGCCAAAAAACAAGCCAAATCCAAAAGCAACAACAATGAAACAAGCTTAAGCCACATATATCTACCCTGAAAACCACAACTTAGTATGTCCAACTAAGTAGGAAAAAAACAGCAACTGCAAAAAATTCATGGCTGCCTTGTCTGAGTACTGGCAGAGCATGGAGTTGTGAAAGAAAGAAGGAAACATTGCATTTAAATTTGAAATTCGGTTTTGGGTTTTGGGATCCTGGTTTGGCTTCTGTGGAACTTAGGCTTGAATTTTATTTAATGTGCTAATTTAAAGTGGGTCAAATAATCTTGCCCCAAAGTAGAAATATTTCTGGCCACTCTATTTTTATAAACACTATTTATTCATGTGTATTTGTTCATTCATATGTACACTTCAGTTTATTTAACAAACATTTAGATTTGTCCCTATAAGGTACTTAGCTAGGACTGCTACAGTTTAAAAAAGAACCGGTATTTATTGAGTGTTTAAAATGTACCAGGGGGGGGGGCGCCTGGGTGGCTCAGTCGTTAGGCTTCTGCCTTCGGCTCAGGTCATGATCCCAGGGTCCTGGGATCGAGCCCCGCATCGGGCTCCCTGCTCAGCGGGAAGCCTGCTTCTCCCTCTCCCACTCCCCCTGCTTGTGTTCCCTCTCTCGCTGTGTCTCTGTCAAATAAATAAATAAAATCTTTAAAAAATAGATAAATAAATAAAATGCACCAGGAACTATTCTAAGTGCTTCATGTAGATTACTTCATCTAATTCTTCCGCAGGCGAGTTCTAGGAGGTCAGCATTACTGTTATTCCCATTTTATAGGCAGAAAACTGAGACAAGGGGTTACCCCGCTGAGCTTCTTGCCCAGGCAGCCTGATTTCAGAGCCTGCACATTTAACCATTCACTTCTCTCCTAGAACCTTCCAAATAAACAGAGTAAACTGCCTTAGTCCAACCTTTCGGTTCTCCTCATACAACGATCATCCTGTGACTGGTTACTGAGTGTGGGTCATGTACAGGAATGGACCCAGAACGGACGCCCAAGTGTGTCACTCGGTGGATAAGGGCAGCTGCAGCCCTGGGTGTAAGAATCAGCTCTACCTTTCTGGCTGTGAACCTGAGCGGGCTACGTAAGCCCTTTGTGCCACAGTGTCCTCATCTACGAGGACAGTAATGACACCTCAGAGAGCGAGCATGAAAGCGATATAAAATTATTGAGCAGAGTGTGGCACACAAATACCGCTATTTTCATATAGCCCCTGCTCTGGAGAAACTGGCATTCCTTCCTGGAAGGAAGAAAATCATATAAATGATTACAGACGAGTATAGAAAGTTCTATAAAAGGGAATTAGGTTGGGAGCACCTTGGGCGCTCAGTCGGTTGAGCGTCCGACCCTTGGTCTCGGCTCAGGTCATGATCTCAGGGTTGTGAGATCGAGCCCGACGTTGGGCTCCATGCTCAGTGGGGAGTCTGCTTGGGATTCTCTCCCTCCCTCTTGCTGCGCCCCGCCCCCCGCTCCCATGCAAGCACATGTGTGTTCTCTCTCTCAAATAAATAAATAAATCTTAAAAAAAAAAAAAGAATTACGTTGGAGCCCGGGGGGCAGGGGTACTGAGAGGGGTAATGAGGAGAGAATGAGGGAATGGGGAGTTAAGGTGAAGAGAGGTTTCTAATTAAAGCTGAGCCCTAGACCTAAAGTTTCAAAAGTTTATTTTGTATAGTGTGCTTCACGCAAATGAAGACACTTTGTCATGTGCAGACTAAATTACATTTATTGAGTACCTTTTATGTGCCAGGCACTGCAGGAGGAGAGTCTCACCTGCTCTCTATCATTTAGTGTTTACAACACTCTGAGGGCCAGTGCAGTTGGTTTTGACGAGAGTGCAGTAGTTTTCCACATCTGAGTAGGGGTAACCGTTGTCGCTCAGATGACGGGCGGTCTCCCTGCAAGGCCCTGCGTGGCCCCTAGACAAGTCTGTATTCGGGTGACCCTAAAAGTCACGGTGCAAAACAGAGGACTTAATACACTGTAAGTTAGAAGAAATTAATGTGAATTTTTACACCTGACAAGGCGTAGGTTTTACGTGTCTTTTTCTCGTTGCTTCTAGCTCTAATCTTTCTCCTGCCCTCCAAACATCGAAGGACCATTTTGCGATACTAAACTTACTGGTGCTTCCCATCCGGAACTGAAGGCCTGCTTCTGCCCCTGCTTCCCCTATCGCAGTTAACCGAGTGCCTAACCTGGTTTCCAAGAGAGAAATGTGGGGGTTGCTTTCGACTGAGCCACCAAGTTCTGTGTGGGGGCACGTCCTACATGCCTCCTTTCTCTCGCTGCTCGTGTAGACCCCCCACGCCCGACCGACTGTAACTGTCTTCCTCCCGGCTCTTTGTCTCTACTCTCTTCTCTCCATCTCTCCACCATCCACAAGCCAGTGCCACTTGCCAATCTTTTAAGACACAAGTATGATCATTCCTCTACTTGAAACTTGCAATGGCTCCCTAGTGTCCACAGATGAAGGTCAAGGGCATCGGCACGGCATATTTGGGCTTTCACTACCTGGCCCCATCCTACCTTTGTATCATCATCCACTACCAATGCTGGCCAGACGGCCGTTCCAGCGGCCTTGGACCACTCGCCCAGTCCCACAGCTTTGGACCTAATCCTCCCAATGCTGGTACTTCCCAGGGCCCATCTTCAAATACACAAGTGCAGAATTCCCATCCACTTATATGTATCCAATTATATTACGATTTCTCAGATCCATTTTATAGAACAATTCCTATAAGATTATTGTAATATTTCCTGTTTTCTCCTCTGGACTTCTACCAAATTTTAAAAGGACTGTGGCTAAGAAATAATAAAGAATAGAAGGGCACCTAAATTTGGATGCCTTTGCACTGACGGTTCCATCACCTAAGGGAGTCAATCCACACACCCCTCCTGATCCCTGCCCAGGGACCTTGGAAGCAGGCTCATTAACGCCAGTGAGCACTATGTGTGGACACAACGGCCTCACCCGATGAAGGGGTTCATTGCACAGCCCTCCAGGTGCGGTTACAGTTTCTGCTGAACAGGTGAATCAAATGGCATATCAGCTGGATAATGTAAAGATAATTATCTCTATTTTTTGCTTTTAGAAGCACGTTATTCTTCGGTCAAAGATAATCAACACCTAACTGAGTTTTCATGGACAATTCTGAATGCGCTTTGTTACATTTAACAGCTCTTGTTAGCAAAAATAATCATGAATAAAAAGCAATTTATTTTTATTTGGCATGTAAACAAAATTATAATGCTGATATCAGTAAAATTCTATTCTGTTTTTATTAATGTACATAAGGCCTTTATCAGATCTTCCTCCGTTTATCTCTGAAGTATATTTGGAGCTTAAAAATAAAGGAGAAAGTTCAGTTATTAGCACTAGAGTGACCCATTTAGGAGATGATTTACACAATTCAAGTGATTGCTCCTGATACATTAATGTCTATCAGAAAAGAACCCTTAGAAAGTTCAAGAAAAATATAAATGTATTATGAAAACTGCTTAAGACTGAATGTACTTTGTGTTGTGGAATAATTCACCTCTGTTTCCAAATATGTGATCTACCTGGGTTTTGAAACCGGGGCCTTCGTTGCAATAAGCGTATGATATAATCAAGTCAGCAGACTGGCCTGGGGTAGAACATTATCATCATTAATGATTTTTTTAAAATTAAGTTTTGAGTCGAGAAGAACTGCTTCATAATTTTAGCATGTGTTCAAAGGTAAAAAACAAAAACAAGAAAACCCTTTCACACTAAGGACTGGATAAAAGTTCAAATGACCTTCTAGCCTAAGAAAGTCGCCTCCCTTTAGTAAAGACCCAACGTGGATACATGCTAGCAAACTGCCTTTCTGCAATTTGAAAGGGAACACTTTTTTTAAAAAATAGCAATTATTTTTTATTTAAAGTTTAAAAGGTAGGTCCGAACTCCAATCCCATATAGGCTTGTGGGTGTTCTCAGCAGGATTCTCATCCTATGCAAACTGATAATGATAGCTCACTCACTCTTGTTTATTTTAAGAACTCCCCCAACAAAACGGGGTTTGCATCAATGTACTTAAAGATATTGTAAATAGAGTACGTAGTTACAAAGATGGCATATTCACAAAGACATCAGTTTATGGTCAGATGGCTATAAAATGGCTAGTTGGATGGATATCTTCGATGTCATCCAACATCTGGGACTGCAACAACTTTCTAGCTATGATATTAAAATAGAAAAACCGTTGCAGAGCATTAACCTATCATTACACAGAGTAAATGGCATGGCACTGCAACCTAATTGCAGTGTGGCTTGCATCTATAAAATAGAATTAGCACTACTGCTCTTTTTTTATTATTAGTTTGTATTTCTAGAAAGGTGTGACCTTATCTGTAAGGTTCTGTTCATTTATGCCCATTTACAAAGGATTTAATTATATTCTTTTAGCTCTCTACGCTGAGGAAATTGAAAACGGCCACTTCAGAATTAAAACTGTTAAAGAAATTAGTGAGCAGATTATTTACTCCATCACCCTTCTTCGTGCAGGGATAAAGAATGGAGGCACATTCAAATAAAGAAGGTAGAAGATTTTGGGAAGAGAAAATTCTAGGCAAGACAATTATTAGTGGTCTTCCTTTCCTCATTCTCAGATGTCTTTTGCAAGTTCCCCTAGTGTTCTTGGGAGGAACCAGCTAGGGGAAAGTGTATTAGTGCTATAAAATTCCTGCAAGTGACATCGGTTTCGCGTCAGTAGCCAGAGAACATGGACTTACATCGGAGGCAGGCGACTCCAGGACAATGCCGAATCCCAGCACACGGTTCTCCCCTGCCGAGGGAGGCTCGGCCGCCGGGGGGCCAGGCTGCTCCGAGGCCCCGGCTGTCTTCTTCTCCGTTTCTAACACGCCAGGCTTCTGCCTCACACTCAGAGGTTCAACGGTCTTTGAGGGCACTTTTTTCTTTTTATTTCTCTTGCGTGAGACAGCAGTTCGCTGGGAGCATATAAGGGAAATCGGGGGTTGTTGTCTGTTTGGGGTTCCAACTGTGAAGAATGAACAAAAATAGGGTACAGGCACCTGAGTCTCACTTGGGAGAAGTTATCACCCGTCAATCTACATGTTCCACAAGCTGAGACCGAAATGGGATTCAGTCAAGGAAGCAGACCAAAATCAATCTCCTGTGGGACCTGTAGGACACCAAATGTCTTCTCTGGAGCACTTTCGAGTTCTACATGCAGAAGAGCAACCCAGAGAAAACTCTGTCCCCGATGCTGGTAAATCATCACACTTACTGCTACCACTGGGTTCTGTGGAAGAAAGGGATTTTGAGCCACAGAAAAACATCTGAGGGTGATCTTACAAGTCGCAGGACATTTTTATATAAATGGGAACTCAGAACTTACGTTCAGGTGTAGCTGTCCGTGCTTCCTGGTAAGCCAAACTCAGGAATATTCTAATCATCCTTTGAGGGTAAAATGATCAGCTGCTAGCAAGCTACAGGCAACAAAATGGACTAAGACTGAGCAATGATGACCATTTTTTAAAGAATGAGTCTGGAATGACTAGCACAGCCGTGGGCAAAGCCTGCTGCCCATTTATCAGGGCCAGTTACTCCTTCCTCACAAACCCATACTGTCCACACACAAACCATCTCCACAGCACTGCACTCAGTACTGCATTCTGACCAGGCTGTCCTCCGTACCTTGGTTTTAGGTAGCTGAAAAACAGGGATGACATAGTTCTGTGCAAGTTAAGAAGACCAGCAAAATCCGGAAACAGGTGGAGTTCCAAAGATGAAAAGCACTGAACAAAGACCAAGTATCAGTACTGAATCTACACTTAAGGAAACCAAGGATAGTAAGTATAGTTTTCACAGATGTACTTTGGCAAGTCATGTTTGTTAACCATTCAGAAATATTCTGATGGAAAGTGTTAGAGAAAAATATGGCATCATTATTTAAATCTTCATGTATCAATATGGCTTACTAAATATGATCATAGGATATGCCTGCTTTTTTACACAAAGAAGCCAAATGAAAACTAAAGATCTTTAAATGCATATAAATATGGATCATTTCCTATCAGTTTGCAAATAAAGGATATTTATACTTTGAACTTGGTATTTGCATCTCTACACTGGCAAGAAATTTACAAGTATTAGAAACGAACTACTTGGGGCGCCTGGCTGGCTCAGCTGGAGGAGCATGTGACTCTTGATCTTGGGGTTGTAAATTCAAGCCCCACATTGGGTGCAGAGATTACTTAAAAAAAAAGAAAGGAAACAACTACTTGCACTGCATAGGAGCACTGAAAAGGTTTTTAACCACCTGAGCAGTTATTAGTCTAGTTTATTGGTGCTTGACCTTGGCGGCACGTTAGAATCACCCGGGAGCTTTTTAAAAAAGAAGTCTGTGCCTCAGCCTTACCCCACACTAACTGAATTGGAATTTGTAGGGGTGGCGCCCAGGCACTGAGATCTTTTTCAAAGCTCCTCAAGTGACTCCAGTGTATAAGCCTGAGTGGAGAATTTTTCTTCTTCTCTGGATTTTCACACAAGGCCAGGTCTCCACGCCCAAAGTCAAACAGACAAGGGAAGCAGTTTTCAATGGTCTAGAACTCACACCTCTCCAAGCTTTGCTATTTTAAAGTAAAAGTGAAAATGCTTTGGGTTTAAAGAACACAGGGACTATGTGAGTTTTTCTCCTCCACTGGCAAGTCTAGGCACACCAGTCCTCTCTTGCTTCCAGATCTTATGCCTTCATCGTATTCCTTGTCTTCTTCCTCAAGAAAAGGTGAAACTTTCTAAATATAATTTAAATCTACGTGTTACAGGCAATAAGCCTTAAGTCAGTCTACCCACACAACACAGATTCTTAAGTTTAAGGAAATTAAAGAAGAGTAATTTTTTCGGTTTATCCTTTCTGCTCTCCTACAAACTCTGGAATCATTTACTGGCCTAATCTGCAAAGGTTCAGAAAAGAAAACACGGTGACAAAGTGGCATTTACTTAATAGATTCCAAAAGGGCTTCAGTCAAGGATTTAAATGGTTGCAATTTGTAGTTTGCCATTTCGGTAGTAAGGAGCTTAAGTAACAAAATAAATCATCAGAATTTCATATGCGTATTTTCTTAAGTGCTAAGAAATTCTTCCTGCAAGAAAAGAATCTGTACATCATGAAGGAGACTTTCCTTCTGTGCTCCTCATTTAAGAGATGTTAACTTTTGCCAGGTCAATAAGAACATGGGTTGCTGTGGTGGAACAAGATGAGTGAACGCTTACTGGCCTCACCAAAATGCTTATTGTTTCCTTGGGCTAAAACCAAATTCAGCACATACAATTAGATGTTGCTTTTCAGAGGGCCTTTTGTTCACCTTCCTTTCCTGCGCTCTTGGGTGATGGTGTGTCTACGTATTAAGCTTTTTATATCAAAACCACATCACTGAACATTACAATTTTGCTAGAATTCACTAAATGGCACCAAGTATGATTTCTGAACGATGACCTTCCTGAATCTCTTTACAGTGCAGGATGGGCCACATATGACTGTGCTATTTCCTGCTCAAGGAGCAGTCTTCCCTCACCAGAGGAGGCCTTATTGAAATGATTTATTATTTTCTGGACCTGTGACCAAAAAATTGCATTTCTGAGTTGAGATTAGACACCACACCCGCTGTGGTGGTGACCCAGACTTCTATGAACCTGCTCCTGGTCTTTAGAACAACACTAAGGAAATAGTTTCTGCCTATATCATGCTTTACAGAGTTCATTTACACTGACTAACTCATTCTGTTTTGAAAACCATCCTGTGAGTTAGATCTTAATGCTCCAGCTCCAGATGAGAAATCTGAGCGCAGAGAAGTCACACAGCCTCATGAGGAGAACAGGGACTCTGACACCAACCTGCAGACTCACCGCTCTTCCACCCTTCCATTTGACTAACACGAGTGAGAACAAAAGAGGCGTCATGTAACTAAGGAAGACAAGACACGCGGTGTCTTCGGGCTTCTATATGCTGACTATCAGGGAGACAAGACGCAAACAGGGCCTAAGAGGCAGCACCTCATGTGCTTACGCTCTTGAAAGTCTTCGCCAGGACAGCCCATGCTCCCGAGACGGCCCTGCAGCACCTGTACGACAATGCGCGGCTTCCCTACTGTCACGCTGTGCCCCACAAGGGGCAGGGACGGGAGTAGGGGTTGTTGACGTGCACGCAGCCCCCAAACGGAGCACCTCGGGAGGTAAGAGGAGTCAGCCACACTTCTGTCCTGAAGTGACCTTCCCTGTCCACTCACATTGGGAAAGTGAGCTGAAGAACAATGCCCACCTTCCCGTATGACTGTTCCAAAATTCAGTTAACTGACACGCGTCAAGGACTCGGAGATGAGGGGGTGAACTTTGTGGAGCATGCGCACGCGAGTGTATGGGTAGTAGTATCAGCAATGAGAAACCTGTTAGATTTGCTGAAGGAAAAACGTATTGAAAATGCACAGCGAGACAGCAAGGTGAGAAGAACCAAATACTAAGAGCACAATAAACGTCCCAACTGAAGAGGCCAAAGGCATTAAAAGTCAGGGGCCTGGTGTCACTACCTGCTTGAATTTGCATTAATTTCCGCATGGTCCTGAGTTCTTGGAGGATGGCTTGCAACGTTGACTGGCAGTTGCAAGTACAGCAGTTGGATCCAACGGACGAATTCACGGCGGGAATTTCTCCTAAGCATCAAAGAAAAGAATGGCACACTCCAAACGTCAGCAACAAAATTATAAAGGGGGTGGGGGGGGAACAGGAAGGTATCTTGACAGCACGTGCGGTTATTATGACACAGTGCCTAAGGAAAATGTACCCGATACCTGTTACCACCTGAATGTCGGGGGCCGACTTGATCTAATTATCCAGGCTTCTGCGCCGTAAGGTGCGTGTGTCTCGCGGGGCGCTGGAGGCCGCACGGACGTGTGCCCGCACTCGCGGTCACAGCAGGCCTCCCTAGTGTCACACCAGTGCATCTCAGGTGACAGCACCATAAAAATTCACTAGCAACACACACTCTGTTGCAGAAAAACACGAACTCTGAGAACGGCCTTCCAGAAAAACCCGGTGGCCGCATGTTCTAAAATCTCATGTTAAAAATCAAATGTGTCTAACTATTAAAAAAAAATAGTTTTTCTAGTATTTCCCCAAATTAAGAACTGTCAAGACATTAAAACTTTTAGAACACTCTGGGGGTGGGATGTCTGGGGCGGGGAAGAGCCCGGTGGGGGCAGAGTACATGGGAGGCTATATTCGGTGTGCTGGCTTTTCTCCACCTCAGTCAAGGAGACCCTCACACCTCTTTTCTCCCTCCCTATGTCTTACATTTCCCTCGCTTTAGCCTCCTTATCTGTTTCAATTTAGTATCTTTTCCTTAGTGAAACCATCCTATTACAGTAAACATAGGTTGTCCCCTTGTCCTCGGGATACAGTAGAACATTTGGAAAATCCCTCTTCCTGCAGCGTTCCCTCCAACCCGACACTGGGAACTGGAATATGCTGTCACTTAGGTTGTCCCCAGGCACAAGGGGAAAGTTCGAAGGCATGGATCCAACTGCATCTTTTGTTATACATTAAGTGTAATTTTAATTCCACAGTATGCATTGTTTGTGGATACTATAAAAAATTTCACCACGGCAGAATCATAAAATACGTACGGACAACTTAATGCTTGGAGTGGCGTAATTATTTACACTCAAAGTTGCAGCAAACTGAGATGTTACAACTTTTAAAACTGCAAATAATTTCAATGAAATTCAAAGTAGTCACAGTTGTATATGATGAATTTCTACTGAAAATAAGCAAACAATAATCACAAAAAATCTGTTTCCAAACCAATATGGGGGAATTTATGTTTGTAACTTTGAACGTTAATAACATTTCCCCAAGTAAATCCACCATCCTTGTTGCATACTGGAAAACAGAATGCTCTTCACCCAAAACTTATTGATGTGGGGTGAACTAACTTCATACACACCTGGGGGTGTCCTAATTCTCTTGCCGTTTCTTCCATGGTAGTCGAATTAGGAGGGCCTTAAAGAATATTCCTCGTCACTATTCTAAGTACTGTCTTTGTCGTATTTAGAGGACAAAACCAACCCTTTCCAACTGGTTATAAATCATTTTCTAATTTTAAGGAGAACTGACTTCTCATTTTTATGGAGGAGTCTTTAAAGAGCCAAGTCCCCCTAACCTGGAAGCATGCCAGCACATGAATGTGATCTGGCTTATGCAATATTGAGAGAAAGAGAAGACTCCCATACGTCTCTTGGGGTCCCTCCTGTCTCATCAGCAGTGTCTCGGGATGGCTTTTCATGCTTCTGAACTGGTTACTGCAAATTGTGTTTTAAAAAAAATCAAAACAGTTCTCTTCTTCTTGAAGGAATGGATGGAAAAAGAAAATCCTTAACTTTTCAAGGAAACTGAAAATGCAGTCTTGCTTTTTCTTGTTCTCTTTCTGAAAACTAAAGATCTGCACACCCATATATAATTTATGGGACAACTAACATCCAAGGTTACTAGATAGGTAAGTTAACATGTCCAGAAAAAAATTATCCAATTTTTTTAAGTTTTGAAAAAAAAATTGCCTTTTAATTTTTTTTTCTGAACAGTTAGGAATTTAAATTAAGGAAACTTTACTCTAAAGGGATAATTTTCAGCCCTAATGAAGCAAGCCCTACCACAAGGATCATCTGCTGCAGTTACTGGAATGTGCCATAAAAGCAAAGGTGTCACTAGGATTCTGGGATATGTGTCCCCCCCACCCCGCCCCCCATTCACCACAACCCTTGTGATCATGAAGAAAAGCAAAAAAGGAAGCAAGAGGATGTATTAATGATACACATATGACCAGAAGCTCCCTTTGATGACAAAGGGGAGCTCCTTCTGCCCTAATGTTCAGTCTCTTGTGACAAAAGTATCGGTGTGTTGGCAAATGATAGCTTTCACTTTCTAAAGGGCTAAAATCTCTACTAAGAAATCGTTATTTCTAATATAGAGCCTTAGTCTTGCTTCTCAATTCTGGTTTTTATACTCTTTGTGTTACTCAGCCAAGGCAGGGGACTAGGGGAGGGTTTAGTGTTTGGGTTTGAACTCAAAACCATGGTGAACACTTAGAAGTAAAACACATTTGGACACCGCCCCCCACCACCCCCACGAGCATTCTCAATGTCTCATCATGACCATACCGTTGGAGCTCCCAGTGCTGTGGGGCTGACTCTGGAAGGTTCTAGAGCGGGTGCCATACTGCCCTGAGAACTGCCCGCTGGGCGGTGGTAACTCATTCCACGCACCACGTGAAGAAGGGTGGAGGCTCTGTGGGGCCTCAGCAGAGGAGTTCAAACGCGGAGGCCAGACTGAATCCAAATCCTGGGGTTCTTCTTTTAATTTTTCTCCTTCTTTGCCCACACGCTGATAGATCCTCCCAGTGCTGTCATTCAGTAATCTTCTCATTCCTGTGATTTGTTTTTTAATTTCCATGCTTTCATCTCCTAACGGAAACGGGCCAAAGAGATCACTGTGCATGAGCAGAAGAAAAAATAATCCACCGCCAGAAAACACACCCCTTCCTTGGAAATGGGTAAGATTCCTGAGTCCACATGCAGAAACTTAAGTAATCTATAAAAATTAAAGGCAAGAAAACTGGCTATGGTCTGAAGAAACCCATCATATTCCTGGTGCATCTCATTTTAACTTTCTGGCTAAATTCTCTTAGGATAAAAGAACTTTTCTGAGCGGGTTTCATCTCTTAAGGTGTGAAGAACACACCTTAAATTCCATCTGAGTGAGGGTGTCATAAGAAAAGGAGCTGAGGCAAAAGACCCCCCATGATGGGACTACAGGGCTGAAAGCCTGGGCTTGGATCTGCCGCAGACGTTCACTTGGGATGGACGTGGAGGCCAGCCGGCCTGCTTACCAACCTGGCCGGCAGGTCCAAGTACCAGGAAGAATATGTGGCACAGGCTGGGATGTAGAGCTTTCTGAGGATGGGCTGTTGGTACAGGAAGCACCTTAGCACGACACTGTTGGTGGAGGCATCAACTTCAGAAATGACAGTGTAGGAGCAGAGAGACATCCAAGGCAGTGGAGGAGAGGGCTTTGTCTTTCTCCAGCCTTGACTCACGGGGGAGATGTCCCTGCAACTACGCATCCCTGGAACTGCCCAGACCAAAGCCACTGCCATCTCCACCTTGTAACTACGTGCCTTCTTTTTTTTTTTTTTTTCAATTATGGTTAAAAAACACATAACATAAAATTTACCATCTTAATCATTTTTTTAAAAAGGTTTATTTGAGAGAGTGCGTGCACACACACACCTGAGCAAGTGGGGGGAGGGGCAGAGGGAGAGAATCTTCAAGCAGACTCCCCACTGAGCGGGGAGCGCGATGAGGGGCTTGATCTCATGACCTGAACCAAAACCAAGAGTTAGACGCTTAACCAACTGAGCCACTAGGCACCTCACCATCTTAATCATTTTTAAGTGCACAGTGCAGTTAATGATATTTGCATTGTTGTGCAACAGATCTCCAGAACCTTTACAATGACTTTAAGATTCCTTTTCCCTAAGGGGATTTTGTTTTTGAACTAAAGTATCTCTGTACTGCACTGGGAGTACTTAATAAATATCACTTAAAGAAAACTCTAAAATTATACAGATATAAAATATTTTCCATAAATAATAACATTAGAGGATGCTATTAGGAGCTATTTTTGAACATCCTAACTTTTTACACTGTGCATCAGCAGGTGTCTTCCCAAAGACTGAGAGAAGTGGATTTTTTTCCCTCTAATCTGGGTGAAAAGTGAAAGTCTTATGCCAGGATTGTTTTCTCTCTAATCTGGGTGTTAAAATAAAAGACTCACGCAGTCATGCCATTAAATGCTTGAAATTTAAACTATGATAAAAAGAAAAGGCCTACAGAAAGTATCTACCAGGAAAAGCACAGCCCCTGCAGATAAATGCAGCACATTTAATATAATGATGTTTTAATGCACTTAGCATCGTTTAAAGCCAGATTTCTCTGTAGAACTGGTAACTGTATAATGAATCCAGGTATTTTGTGTTGCCCAGCTAGATATTTAGCTAATTAATACATGGATATATTACTGAAGATAAGGAAAATTTACATACTGCTTTGAAATAAGTATCTCCAATTTTTAAAAGGTAATAAAAATATTAGTTCTGCCTTTAATAACTCACACGGGTGAACACAAATGACACAGATTTCCAACTTTACAATATTGTTATGTGTTGGTATCTGCCTGAGAGGAGAAATATTTTCATTCGTAATGAAACTATTTTTACATCAAACACCTGTGAAAATGACAACACAGAAACAGTAAGTGATAGTCCAGATTTTATGAGAATGAATGACTAAGCACGATTTTAAAAATGCAGAGCCAGCAAAATCAACAACCTCCTCAGGAGGTCTACGGCAGGGGCTGTGTCTGGAAGCGCTCCGGGAGGGATCCCGAAGGCAAGCTGCACGCAAACGTGCTGTCAGTTTCAGCACCCAAACACACACTTTTCCGGCTGGTGAACAGCCCAGTCTGGGCAAGAAGCTTCTTTCCTGTGGGGTTTTCATCCTCCATGTTCTCCATGCAGGAAGCTGTGCACGCATCAGAGGCTGCAGCGCGCTGATCTCAGCGGGCACGGCTGGTGGCTGCCATGCCCCCTCCTCCGGGCGCCCGCTCGGCCGCCTTCAGCCTGCTTCTCCAGCCAGTGCCAACCCACTTCTCCACACAGACCCTGACACCTCCAGCTAAAGGGATGCTCTCTCTTCAGAGGCTCCCCGTCTGCTCTGGAGATTGAGCTCTACGATAAAGGGCTGTTTTCAGGGGGAGAGAAAGAAAGTCACAGGATTCGGGAACCTGCTAAAAGCAAATGTGCTTTGTCACGACCTGAGTCTCTTAGTTCTGAAAATTACCAGAATGAACAGGCCACTTGAGTTTCACATGCTCTCTATGTTTGTGTGGAGGACCAGCATCCGACCTGAGTCCAGAAGAGGAGGTGAGAGTATAAAGGGAGCCTCTGGTTGGGGGCCGTCCCGGCAATGTTTAGAAACATTTCTTCCAAAGTCAAAACAAAAACCCACCAAACTACAACAAATGAGGACCCGATGGGGCCCGAGGAAGGAGGACAGCTGGGGCCTCTGCAGCCCCGACGGGCTTCACTGAGGAGACCGTGCACAGTCTATCTGCCTGTGAGGGATCTCAAAGGACAGAAGACAGAGAACTGCAGAGGTCAGAGCTGTAGGAGTCAATGAGGGGAAATCCATGGGCAAGGCTGAGGAAGGCTGACCTCAGAAAGCTCCTCAGAACACACAGGCTGACAACCAGATGGATGTGGGCAAATGGTGTCAGGGTAACTGAACTGTCCCTGCTTTGGCCAGAGAAGCCGGGAGCAGCCCTGAAAATGCCACCTGGGAAGAGGTCCTGGAGCCCCGCTACACATGCAGGCGACGGGGGTCTTGGGCAGAGGGAGGGGAAACGCGGCCTTGCCCAGTGGGGGCAGAGGGGACAGAGCATCAGAAATGAGAGCTGGACACCAAAAGCAGGGATGACAGAAGCATCCGAGTGAACTGACATAAACTGGGATGGAGTGGGTGCCGAACGCAGCAAGCAGGGTGAGCGGCGGAGGGTGGGCGGAGGCTCAGCCAGCAGGTGCTGGTGTGGTTCAGTGGACAGGCCTGCACCGGACTCCCTTCCCAACTGTGCTGATGTCCAACTCCCAGACTTCAGCTTCCTGAGTCATACATTGAAGGTCTGAGCCAGGGGCACACAGACGCAGCTGCAGAGGGATGCTGGTTACAAGAAGTTAACAGAGTGAAAGTCACAGGTATCCTTCTCAGAGAAAGTGGGCTTAATCTGTCCTCCCAGAGGAGCCCATTGTTTTTTGTTCTTTTGTTTTTTTTAATTGAGGGGACACAAGTTCTTTGACTTAAAAAGAAATGGTGAAAAGTGCATAAGAGATTGAGATGGGAAACGTTAGTTGACTTCTACTTGTCTTTCCAGTTGGGATCATTGTCTTTGCCATGTTTAATGCCAGGAAGAGGAAGCTCCACAAACATGATTCTATATGGAAATGTTTGCACTTTCTTCCTTTCTTTCCAAATCTATCTACGTCTTTACTTACACTCAACTCCAAGAGGCTGAATCTTTTTAGGAAAGACAAAAGGAAATCTTACTAAGAGGTAAAACAACCTTAACTGAAATCCTTTTGAGAGTCTGGACAAGGTCTAAAAAAAAACTGCAGAATGAAATCTAACTTTGGCTAAATCTCCAGACTCTACCAGATCACTTTTTTTTACATAAACAATATACAGGTGTATAATAACTATTATACATACAATGGTTATGCATAATAATACATACAAAGTCTTGCAACACAGAAGTAAGTCATCACACACGATCTCTCTTAACTTGGCCCAGGAGAGAAGACTATGCTACACAGACCATGATTACTCACAGTCTGGGATGATAAAAGAAAAAGATGGTAGGTAACATACAAACATATAGGGAGAGATCATATGTAAACATCTTATGTCTATCTCTAAATGTCTTACTATGAAGATTCGTGAAGAACACTCATCATATCTTTGCCCTACAAATGTTCTAATGTAGATGTATGGTAGGTATTCCATAAAACTTTCCTAAGTGAATGAAAGAAATGGCTTTTTGAAACCTGAATGAATCCAGGAGAATTAAATGTAATATTAATGTTATAAGCAAATAATATATTAATAGAGTGGAGTGAAAAAGTAGCAGAAATAAATTGCTCAACAAACATTATCAAGCACTTTCTGGGTCTCATCCAGTACAAATTAAAAGAGAGCCCCTCTCCAAATCTCTTGACATTTTTTACCCAGATTGCTTTATACTGATTGTTGTTCTGAAAAATGGTCCTGATTTTTCCTGGCCTGCTGCCCCCAACTCTGTTGACTGTGTGCCCCAGAACTTCACTGAGCAAACTGTCCTACTATTTGCCGATGATTCTGCTTCCTGTTAGAGCTAAAGACCTTCCCTGACAGTCCTGCTTTCCTGAAGCCCCAGCATGAAAGTTGTTCACCTCCCACTGGGGCTGGGGATGGTGGCTCCCCAAAACATCACACTTCCGGCCCCAGGAGAAAGCTCACTCTTGACTGAATTGATGCCCCAGGGCACCTCTTCCCCCTTCCTCCTCAATGGCAGTTCTGTGTGCCAGGGGCGCAAGCTCTCTGAGGGGAAGGATGGGTGATGAAGTTGAAATGTAGAGCGAGGTCATCCCATTAAGGGCCATACGTGCCAGGCGAAGGAAGAATAATTTTACACTGGAGATACTGGGTTATTACTCCGGGTAATTTTAGATTCTTATCTCTTTCAGTAGAAGGATAGTAAATAATCAGGTCTTTCCTGTAGAAAATATAATTCTGGCAAAACTATGGGGAACATGGTGTGGGGAGAGAAAACTAGTTACAGTGTCATTGCTGAAGGCCGAGTGAAGGAC